CGCAGTTTCTGGAAACTAGTACCTCCGAGGTACTAGTTTTTGGCCACACAGTTTCGGCTGGAAGCCTCAGTTGCGCCACGGGAGTGCTACGCTTCCCAGATGTGCTGGTGAGATCGCGCCCGGAAACTCCGCCTGTTTTCCGTCTCACTTGTGTGGCTTCTGGATTTTTCTGTTGCCTTTTATTGCCGTTTTCCGCTGGAGGGTGAAGACTTTTGTTTTGCATTTCCTCAATGATCCCTTCTTCCTAACCAATATTTTATGTTTTGTATATATTTTAACTCTTTTATATGTATTTTAGCTCTATTTTTAAACACTCTAAAGTTGTTTTCATAATATATGTTTTTGGGGGTTGTTTTAATGGTTTTATAATATATTTCATCATGTATGTTTTAAATTGTTCGCCTCCTCAACAGCCGTTGTAAGGGCAGAAAGGTGGGATATAGCTTTTGCAAATAAAATAAATAAATGGCAGGTGTCATTTCAGCAGCCAGGTGAGGGGAAACCCCCACCACCACCATTCATAGTTGCATTTACCTTTCCAAGAACTTTATATCTATCCTTGGTTTGTACAAATTGAAAAGTATTCCTCAGAACTGAATATATGGAAGATCTGAACTGAACCATTACACTTTCTGTATCTAATATGGCATCCAAGTTGGAGCAGATGCTAGTGATTTTTACTTGAAAATGTGATTACAGTTAACTTTTGAGATCTCTCCTCATCTTTTGTGGTTCAGTTTGAAATAAATTGACTGCTCAAAAATGCATCCTGGCTCAACATTGAACAGACATGGTGGTGAATTAGGATTTCCTCACTACCAGCATCATCAACATGGAATAGGCTATAAAATAGGTTTTAGCCTGTAACTGATCAGATTTACCTAGAACCTTTTGCTTCTATCCCTTTGATATTCATTTGTACTCAACAGCTCATTGGAGAACCATGAACAAGCTCCACCTGCAGGAGAGAGAACTTAGGGGTGACTGTCAAGTGACAGATCATTTCACAATTCCAAAAATTAACAAGGGATTCAAAATGACTGTTAACTATATCCATCAGAAAATTTCTTTCCCCAAACCATCAGGAAACTATTTTGATCCATTAGTCGCTGGGGCAGACCATCTTGATCAGTCTTACAGCCCTGCTGAAGGTGCATGGTGTTGCAGGTCTAAACCTGTCCAGAAAGTGATCTGACTAGGACAAGAGAACTGTAGAAAGTTCTTCTGCTTTTTGATTACCCTTCTCCAAACAAAAATAGATAACAGGACTGAAGTTGTCCAACTGAATATGCTGGGCAAACTGCAATTTGGGGGCAGATCTATGGTTGCCAATGCAGCGATGACATCCTGACTCATTCTAGACATGTTCTTCAGTCAGCATTAAGGGCCTTCAACACCATACAATTTCTTGAGATACTTGAAAAAAAAAGTTAATTACAGATTTTGAGTCAGTGTGGTATAGTGGTTAGGTTATCAAATTTGGGTATGGGATCCCTACTGCTATGAGATCTTGGTTGGTGCCCTTGAGCCAGTCACATTCTGTCAGCCTACTCTACCTTACATGGTTGTTGTAAGTATAAAATATGAATATCCAATTATGAAATGCATTTTTTAGATATATGTAGTTGGATCCAATTGCAATGTTCTACTGATGTAACAGTTCTAAACCTGAAGAATGACACTTTTGTTGGCAGAGAGGAAGGAGTATTTTTTCCAACTCCTTGCTCCTATACCTGCCTCCCATTTTGCTCCCCACACTTCTTTACAGGGAGTCAGTGGGTTAGCAGGAGAACAGAGGTAGGAAAGGGCTTGTGGTGATTTGTATTCAACTGTATTAGTAGAAGAATTTCAGCCCTAATGCAGTGATACTAGGCAAAGATATTCTCTCTTAATAAAAATACTGAGTATCAAGTAAATGTTCAGTACTGAACAAATCAACATCATACAAGGTGTCATATCAATATTCAGTGCATGTCTGGTGATGTGATCTGTTTTGAGAAAGGTCTTCTTAAAGAGTAACATACTATGTATCTATTAAAAAGAAGGACCCAGTACTCCTTATTGGTCAGCTAATGACTGTCACCACTGTTGCTCTTTTTTATTGGTCACATATCCAAGTATTCCTATCAGTAGAGTTTAATGATTACTTATTTCTGTAGAGAGTTTGTGTGCACCTCTGCAGACCTGCTCAAGGTGGCTCACTGGTAAAACAGTAAAAACAATACAAATTATATCAATAAGAACAAATATGGAATAAAATCAATATCAATAAAAGCATTACCAATGCTGTGGATATAGTGTATCTAGATGTCAGTAAAGCATTCAACAAAGTATATCATGATCTCCTTGAGGATAAGCTGGTTAAGTGTCGGCTGGATGGTGCAACCGTTGGATGGATTCATGGTTGGTTGAAAAATCATACCCAACGAGTGCTCATAAATGGCTCTGTGTCTATGTGGAGGGAAGTCTCGAGTGGAGTGCCGCAAGGCTCAGTCCTTGGCCCGGTGTTGTTCAATGTTTTTATAAATGACCTGGAGGAAGACACAGAGGGGATGCTTATCAAATTTGCAGATGACATGAAGCTAGGTGGGATTGCTAATTCTGAAGAAGACAGAGTCAGAATTCAAAATGATCTAGATAGGTTGGAACAGTGAGCTGAGACAAATAAAATAAATTTCAATAGAGATAAGTGCAACGTCCTACACTTAGGTACAAAAAAATCAAAGGCACAGATATAGAATGGGAGGGACTTGGCTTGACAGCAGCACATGTGAAATGGATCTAGGTGTTCTGGTTGATCACAAGCTAAACATGAGCCTGCAGTGTGATGTGGCTGTGAAGAAGGCTAATGCAATCTTAGGATGCATTAACAGAAGCATTGTGTCCAGATCAAGGGAGGTAGTAGTTCCGCTCTATTCTGCTATGGTCAGGCCTCACCTGGAGTACTGTGTCCAGTTTTGGGCACCACATTTTAGGAAGGATGTTGACAAGCTCGAGCGTGTCCAGGGGTCATTTCGTAGAAAAAGAGCTAGGGGGACTCATTAGCATAACTCATTAGCATATGCCACACCCCCTGACATCACCGGAAGTGTGTCCTCCCCACAGCCGGCGGCGACCTCCAGCGGGCACCAGCAGGGAGCTCCAGGCCCCGCCCTCCCGCACCTCACCCGGGGGGATGGCGTCCCCCCGCGTCCCCCCCAAATGACCCCTGAGCATGTCCATAATAGGGCCACCAGGATGGTGAGAGGGTTGGGATCCAAGTCTTATGAGGAAAAGCTGAAAGAGTTGGGTATGTTTAGCCTGGGAAAGAGAAGGCTTAGAGGGGACATGATTGCAGTCTTCAAGTATTTGAAGGGCTGTCATGTAGAAGATGGAGCGAATCTATTCTCTCTTGCTCTGGACTGCAAGACTAGATCTAATGGGTGGAAATTACAAGGGAGTCGTTACCGGCTAAATATCAGGAGAAACTTCCTAACTGTAAGAGTGGTTGAGCAGTGGAACAGTCTGCCTCGGGAGGTGGTGGATGCTCCTTCGCTTTCAAGCGGAGGCTGGACGACCATCTTTCGGGTATGTTGTAGGTATGTAGGGCTGTCTTTCGGCTATGCTCCTGCAGAGTGCAGGGGGTTGGACTAGATGACCTGCAAGGTACCTTCCAACTCTAACATTCTATGATTCTATGATTCAATGAAACAGCCAAAGAAATGGGAGCCAACCTTGACAGTCAGAAAGGATGGAACCCTTTAATCAAATGCCTGGGTTAAAAATGTTTTGGCATGATACCTAGAAGAGAGTAAGGTTGGGTAAAGGGACTGTGGACACAGAAACATTCAAAGGTAGTGATTGAGGATGTAGGAACGCCTTTTGCTTCATGGCAATCTCAAACATCAGATATTCCAGTATGAATTTTGGCTAATCCAGTTTTTTTGAGAAGGTGTATTGTAACGAACTGATGTATCCTCCAATGTTTCATCCATGAAAATAGGGAACCTAGCTCCAAAGTATTTAATTTTAACTGTCATTTTTTTCTTCCATTACTACAGTTATTATATTAAAAAGAAAGCATGGGATTTCTCTGGAGATGATCATAAGTAAAAAATAACATGCATATCAGTCTAGAACAGGGAAAGGTTATTATGCATTTATGAACATTGATAGTGCTTCCTTGATTCTATAGTGGTCATGGCCATTATACCCCTACTAGCAACAATCCTGCAGTACCCTTGAAATCATTAATACACAGTTGCATCTATTTCATGCTCTACTGAATTCCAGGGAAATGTCATTCTGGAAAATCAAACTTCAGAAATTCCCATAAGAGAAGTCACTTTGCTCTTAGTACTTCTATATCTTTACATCATTATTGTTAGAAAGCTTCAAAATAGGGTGGTGGATTTAGTTTTCTAGTTGAAAAAAAGCAGATGCAGTACGGTAATTACTACCAACTTTTCCAGGTGTGCTGTAAAACTTTACAGCTACTGGAACTTTGGACAGTCCATCTGAACACCTGGTCTTTCTGTGAATTTAGAAACATGTATATTTTCTGTTACGCGCTGGTTATAGTCCTACACCGTCGTAAATGTATATAACTTCAGTGACTCTGCTTCATAGCAGCTCCTTCATAGTTATACCTACTGCAAAAAGATAGCATACGTTTGTTCTTCTTGCTTGGTGTGTGTGGGGGGAAGCAGCAAAGCAGATTGGAGGAAATGGTATCTCTCACGTTATAGAATGTTGAGAAAGAGGATTGCTATGGCAACCATATCATAAGCTTCATGCTTACATTGTTGCTGAGTTCACAGTGTCATTTTTAATTACTCCTATGCAATTAAAAGCAAAAATGAGTAATTTGTGTGAATATGTAATCAATATAATCAGCCATGTTTGCACTGACAGTGAATATGGGCAATTTATCCAACTAGAGTGGGGCTTTACCCAACTTGGAAATACCGCTTTTTAATGTGGGTTCTCCTGTTTTGTTTTGGGTTTTTTTTAAATTGCAGAACTGCGAGAAGCTGGAAAATAATTTTGATGACATCAAGCACACGACTCTTGGTGAGAGAGGAGCACTTCGAGAAGCAATGAGGTAAGTCTGGGTCACCATAGCAACAGTCACAGATGTGGTAAAGAAAGAGTCATTCTTCATTATTGGGGGAACAAATGAGTTCATTGCCACCATTCAGCTCTATTCTCTAAGGTATTAATTTGTCAGCGGAGAGGCTTCCCTTGAGGCTGTACTTGGGTTTTGAAGCTGAGTGAATGCTAAGCCTCTCTGCACAGTAAAAAACGTAAATGTTTAATTTGTTACTAAAAAATGCTTAAGGGGTCCCTTGTTTTATATTTATAATAAACTGTGTGAATGACTGAAAATTGTTCATCTGAATTGTGCAAGTATTAAGGAAAATTGTACAAAGCTTTTTTCTTCTTAAGCGAGGCTGCGTATGCCCCTAATTTGTATTTAATTTTCACTATATAGCAGCCTGTGTAATTTCTTTTTCTATTAGACTTTAATGGGATTAGACTACTGTATGTTAAAATGAATGACCTCATCTTTTCGAGTAAGAATATTTTTTCTCATTTTCCATTTTTATGATCCCAGTACTTCATACAGCTCTATTTATATACTCACAAGTCCCAAGACTTAGGGTACAGCACTTGGAGCTTATACCACAGGAAAATATACCAGTGCAAATGCTTTCAATTGGAGTACTAAGGGCACTGAAGCTGTTGTGTGAATCAAGTGCCATTTCTGACGTCCCAGGTCTGTGATACCATCCAGTTGTCCCTATTTGCTTGCAACTCATATTGTGTGATTTGGGATATCCAGGCACAGCATGATTTCCATGATTTTCAATTGTTACTATCATAGGAGTTGGTTCCAGCAATTATTTCTTTATTTGGAAATTTTATGTGTTGCCTCTCTAGAGACCTGTTCAAGGCAGATTACAACTAAAACAATAAAACAAAACTGTTTAGACACACCCAGTGAAAACAATCTGAAGTCCTTCATTACCACTCTGTCTGTTATTGACCGAGGTCACAATGTTCCTTGACGTTAGGGTTCCCAGCCCCCACCTCATACAAAAAAAGAGATGTCACCCAGAAGTGACATTGTTGCATCACCGATGTCAGGGGCGATGCTCTAGTTTTTGGGCAAACTCTGGTTTTGAAGGCAAAATCCCCATAGAGTTTTGCCAAAAAAACTAGAGCGTCACCACCCTGATGGTGGTAACATGATGATGTCACTTCCAGGTAACAGCATCATGCTGTGTGCACTTTGCATGCAGGGCAGAACATCCCAGAGAGGACCTGGGAGCCCCCCCACACACCAGGTAGGACCTGGCAAGCCTACTTGATGTAGATGTGTATCTTTGGTCAGGGTGCATAATGTGGAAAAGATTTTTACTACCAGGGGCTTTGGCTCAGTGGAACAGCCTCTGCTTTGCCTGCGGAATGTCCCGGGTTCAATCCCCAGCATCTCCACTTAAAAGGACCAGGCAATAGGTGATATGAAAGACCTATGCCTGATACCCTGGAGAACTGCTGGCTGTGATGGATTGATGATCTGAGGCAGATTCATGTGTTCATTAAACCATCTTTCCTACAAACTTTTGAGTCAGGCCTGGTTTTACCACACTTATTATTATGTCCTGGTTTAAGTAACAGAGTTACTATTAAACCCAAGCAAGAACTGCATTTTCTATATAGGCCTCTTGAGGTTATCTTAGATCCCAGGACAAAACTTTGGAATTCCTAGTATCCAGACAACTATCTCCTTCCTGGCACCTGTAGGACCAGACCCTCATTTTCTGAGTTGAAGTATCTGGCAGTTAAATGAGGAAGAAGCCTCTGGAGCATTTATTGGGGGCTTCAAAAAAGGATATGCCCATACTGACTTCCCACTTCTGAGTTCTGAGTCAGTGCTTTGTCTTTTAAGAAATACCAGGTTTATTTAGAAAACAGTTGCCATATTAAGTTGCCATGGTTAAAAAAAGATGCACAGGAAATGAATGTGAAAATTTGGTCATGAAACTCACAGTTACTGGCGAAATGTCAGGTTCTACAATGCCAAGACCATGGCCACACAACCCGGAATATCTACAGCAACTAATATAAAACTTTGTAAAGCCATCCAACTTTGGGATCCACTTTTGCTTAGCTTTCCCTTTGACCTTCATTGTTTTTAAAAAACACTTCTTGATAAACCATGATACTCACTCAGGAGGCTCTTTGATATGCCACCTGTGGCTCGTCTAGGCAGTGTCCCCCAATGTGGCTCACCACATTTCCCAAGAAAGTAAGCAAGGCCATTACCATGTTGGGCTTGATGTTGGCAGGTGGTTCCCACCTTGAAATGGCCTCTGGAGGATGGGTAAGCTGCAAGCTGCCCTGAGTGGCAGGCCTTATGCTAGGTATGGAATTAAAGGGTTGATTCTCTCCAGCAGCTGTCTACCCATCTGTAGCCGTTATACTCTCATCCCAGTACCTGGACTGCATCCAGGAGGAGAGCATGCAGGTAGAGAGAAGAGAGGGTGCAACCATCACTACCATAGCAGCCTTGCAGCGAAGGAACAAACTGGCCACATTGGGGTGTGGTGGTTTTACTTCCTCTTCTCTATGACCAGCTTAGTGCCCTTCAGGTACCTTGGCAATCTCACTTTCTTACCAGATATGCTGTACCTTGTACTGAGGAGCAAGAAGGTAGAAAGAGAAGCTCTTCCCCCCATTGTAGTTATAGAAAGGCTGGCTAAAGTTCAGCAGTGGTGGGGATATGTTATTGTGGATGGGTGTGTTTGGTTGTCTGGTGCACAGGGCAAACAGTAGTCATGCAGTTGTTTTGTGTGATGGTAATTGTGACTGTGGATCTGCATGAGTTGTGGAGTGAGTACTATTGATGTATATAATGTCTGCTTCAGTGGTCTTAGTCATTACTTGAAAGTATACATACGGTAGATGGCCCCTCCACCCCCTAGACATTCACAGTGCCACATGCAGTTTCTGTCATGGAAATGATATTCCACTGCTGCTCATGTTTCATATGTCTGATTCTGTCTTTCTCTGGTTTGGCCGTGTGTTTGTGCAAAATAGATACAGAAGTTTCCATGCAAGCTATACAAGCTAAGAGCTTGCAAAAGTATTTGCAAGTGCAATGCATTATTTTTCTTCCATTCAAGTGAATGGATACTATTTATTTCAGCGGAAGAAAATAATGTTCTGTAAATCGGGAAGCACAAAACTTGCACACACCCAGCTTTTTACTTTCTCCTCTCATTCATTTAATTAATGGGAGAAAGTAAATCAGCAGTGCGTATGTGCCCATCTGGAGGGCATGTGGGTGTACCGTGTAGGAAATTCAAAGGGACCAAACAAAGTAGGTCTGTGGACTTGGTTCCCTATAGATGTAAATGGCAAAGTAGACAGCTGAACTGTTTACTTCTATCTCTAGTAGAGTTGCAATAGATAACTTTAACTACTAGTTATTGAATGCATATGCTAGACTGTCCCCCCCCATCACTTTAAAAAGATCAGTGTCACTTTGAAATAGAGAGCCACATGGCTTCTAGTTGCAGAATAACTCATATGGAGTATCTTGTCACTGTATTCCACAACAGTGGTTATCTCCAGGGCTTTGGAAAGTGATTGCACTGCCTTAAATATATTTAAAGTATAAATCAAGAACCCCATAAAAGTCTTGTTTTGAGCTTGATTGCAAGATTGATATTTGACGAAATAGTCTCCTTTTATGCTACTGTTGACAAGGGATCTTTATGTTGAGTTGTTTGTCCAACTTTATACAGGCTTATAAGATTGTGCGCGCTTAGGTGGTCCTGCACTTTATATTGCCTGGGATTTCATCTGTAATTTCTGATTTTTTTTCAATTGGGAATTTTAATTTACTTTGTGAGCTGCAGAGATAAATCGGAAGGCAAGCCTTCCTCCTTGGAGAATACTACAGCGAACGGGGATTACGAGAGTGTGCAGAGATTGTGATTTCCCTTGAACATTCCTTCAATCACCTGTCTCAAATAAAACCAAAATTCTTTAATTTTAACTGACCTAAGGTTACATATTATACCTGGTCAGAATGGGCAGTTATGAACTTCTATTGAATTCTACAGAAATGCCCACTGAAGTGTGTTTCAGCTTGCAGACAGTGCTGATCGCTGAAAGGCTTTGTTCTAAAAACCTGGCTGGCTGTAGGTCTCTGCAAAATAAAAACTCCAGGGGAATTAAATCCCATAATATTATTATTGGTTTTTGAATTGACAACATGCAGGTTTATTTGTAACATAAGTTTTAATTGTGTGCTACACCTGCTAATCACGTTCCTGTATATTTGCAACAGTGATTTATATCATTTGCAGTGTTGCTACATTGTGCTAAAAGCAAACCAGCGTGTTTGTTGTCTAATATTATTATAATAATTACTATCATTGATATTGCTGTAATTATAAATGGAATTCAAGGCATATCTCAAGATGGGCAAAGTGCCGGAGCCTTGGAAAACTGTGTTACTTGCAAATTGCACATGCAATCATCTGCTTAGCATGCTAGAAATCCCCCCCAATAGCTATTCCACCTTTTAAATTTTTATTTTAACCTACTTTATCTCCCTTTTCTTATGAACTGATTTGCAAACTGACTGAGGTGCTGCAATCCTCTTTACAGTGTCTGTATATATGTCTGTTGCTGGGCTGAACCACTTCAGGCTGTAGGTTGGGGTTTGAGTGTTTACTTGTTCTCTTGTATAGTTAAAAATATTTTTTGCACAGTTGAAAGCAGTACATTGGGAAGAGGGCTTGCTTAGAATCCTTTACCACAATATGCTAGTTTTGTATGTGCAGGCAGCATAAGGTGAAGAAATCCAAACATTGCACTGTCACCTGATACGGTACAGGCTGGTGACATATTGTTCATATTGGGGTAGATCATGTACAGCAGTCCTTAGCTTAGCAAAGGGAGCTCTTTGAACTTGTAGGAAACATTACTCTTGTGACTACGGATGGGCACGAACTGGGAACAGAGAGGTTTGTTTTGGTTCATGGGGCCACACGAACCTACACTGACCTTCCCGCTTACCAAACT